TTGTGCAGATGGTACTTATTGTGCTTTTGCGTGCATATACAAGAATAAAGCGTTTACTCTTTTGATCCCTGAAGAAGGAATTTAATTGGATTTATAAAAAAATTTTGATTTTAAGCATTATGGTGAGGATGGGTGAATTGAACTGCATTGTCGACTCTTATAATTCCATAGTCGTTGATATGTTATTAAATTTTAAATAAATATACATTAAATGAATATGCTTTTTGCTCCAGGTCGATATTTATTGAAAGGTACTTCAATATTAAAGCCACAATTATGGGAGGAATAAATATCGAACTAGGATGCACTCCAATAGTCTGCGTCTTTTTATGAGATCTTTTCATGAAATCTATATTGCATTTAGGGCCTTGATCTACGCCGATATCATTTTCATCTGGACGTACTCGGTCTCTTAAAAAAGCGACTGACAATCACAACAGTTAAATTTGTTGAATTTCTTCATTCTGCAACACGTGTATTTGTTGTTGCAAGGCATTTAAAAGCATAGATTAGCACATAAAAGCATTTACTTATTGCAAGCTTCAGGAATATTCATTCATCAGTAATCCATCATTCACTAATATCCTCTAAATAAAACCAATAAAAATAATAAAGCCTATTAAAATGTGCAATTGACAATTTTTTTTCCAACGGAACTCATTCAACATTTCCTGTTTACCTAATATGAGAGATGAACATAGGAAAATATAATTAGCTTAAGCGACTGGTCTTCAAGTGAGAATTAACTCGTGCAAGAATGGTCGAAGGCAAATAACATTTTATTTTAGCTTGAAAAGTCAGCCTAACCAGGAATGGTGATAAAAATTTTTGGTAAACCATAAAAACAAATGGTGTGCATTAAACAGGTGAAAATGAAGTTTATCTGCTGAGAAAAAAAAAACAAAATTTCACATTTCACACTTTTCATTTATAGACTTTTAATTTAATAAAAATTTATTGAACTATGAAAAATCATTTAAAAAAATTCTAAAAATTTTGTCATAAGAGCAATGTAATAATATTTTCTCATCATTTGTTGATTCACGGAAATAGAAAAAAATATTCCGGTATGTTCCAAGTGGATTATAATTTTTTATAGTGCATTAGTCTGTATAAAAAAACATTGCATTAGATTCGATTAGATTCGATGATTTGAATGATTCGATTAGAAATATTTGCCAGAGAACGAGTTTTTCAAGGGTTTTGTCTTCAAAACCTTACAAGATAGTTCCAAGGATAATTGTTATTTTTTTGTTACTTTTTTTTTAAAACGATTCTAATTTTCAGTAGCAACTTCGCAATCCAGCGGCTGCAACTGATGCACACGTTTTATTGCCGCTTATATCGGCATCTTTGCAGCATTGGTGATTACGGAATTGCCATGAGAACATAATATAGGCAAACTTGTGGTCATTATATTCCTTACGAGGTGCTCCCTAAAAAAAAATTTCTTTCCGTTTTCCATCTAATAAATATGAAAAAAAAAATATCATCATTAGTATTGTATGCATGAGCATCATCAAACGAGCGAATTTACTCTGATTTCCAATCTTTTTATTATTAAAACTATAAATATTATTACTATAATTATTGAAATTATTATCTTTCCACTATTATCCTTAAAAATTAGCCAATAAATAATACGTATCTTTGACACAAATCAAAAGTTATCTTGCCTCTCAACACATTTGTAATAACTAAGAAAAAAAAAATTAGAAATGCTTAGTTGATTGCTATTTTCTTGATAAGCCCTAATTTTTCCTTCGCTAATTTGTCGGGCTACGCAAGTTTCGTCGATGAGTCAATTGGAAATATACTAATTTATGCATCCACAACGATCGCTTTAGGGTTCCTTAATAAGAAATAAGAAAAATTCATTTTTTGCTTCCACCACAACATTTTAATCCATTTATTAACAATAAATTAGAAATCTTCTTAATATTTTACTTCTTTCCATTGTTTGAAATTCAAATCCAAGCGTCTTTTATTATTTTGGCCAGAATTAGCGGCAAGATTTTATTAATTTACGTTGTTAATTACGAATATTTTTTTTTGCAAATTATTATTATTTCTGGAAAATTTTCACAAGATTATTTAAATTTTTAAAAAATTTTATATGAATGGCAGCATCATTTAAAATTATGGTTTCTGATTGAAGCATTGCAAATAGGTTTCAGTATTTTTTTATAATTTATAATTTACTTTTATAATTATAGAATATTAACGAATATTAATTATAGATTATTAACAATATAAATTTAAATATTACAATAACCATCGGAAAATTTCAAATTAAAATTATTTTAATTTTATATTTATTTATTGAAATTATTTTATATGAAATTCAAACCTAATTATTTATGATAATTTTAACAAATGGTTCAATAATTTATTGAAAACTTTGATATGATCAGCACATTAGCTATCAATATCATTTAGATTAAAATTAATGATTAAAATGATAATAATAACAGTATGAATAGTAATCAAAATATTACAAGTAATAATATAGAATTCGTTATAAAATCTACACGTTGTAGATATTAATTTATTTTGTATGAATATTGATAAATGAAAAGGAATTTTTAAGAGAACTTTTCAATTGCTTTTCAATAATTATCAGCAATGACATGTTTGCCTACATTGCCTTCTTATTACAATTCCATAATTACCGATTTCGCAAAGATTTCGATATAATGTGCAGTTAGAGTGCGCATCAGTGGATTTCGATGCCGCTGCTGAAAATTGAAATCGTTTTCCAGTAGATAAACCAAAACAATTGTTGTGTAAATATTGCCATGTTTGCCGAAGAAATATTGCAAATATCGGTGACAGTAATTTATTTATCTCATCTAATTTTCCCATTTCGAGAGTAACGAAGTGGAAAAATAGGGAATTTTGATCATGAAAATATTCTTCTTTAATATTCTATGATTTATTTGTGAAAATCTTAAATCTGAAAATCAATTTTGTTTAATAACCGCATTGATTTAGAGATAAGCACCTTGCTAAATCTCGTACATCCAAAAAAGAATTTATATTCCAATTTTCCAAAAACTCTAAAGAATTTTCTACATATAAACGATTATCGCGCTATGTAACTCCTCTGAACTGCTTCGAACAGTTCCTCGACTATAACGAGCATTATCATGTCATGAAAAAAAGCGCTGTTGATTATTTGCCCGATCAAGTTAGAATTTCTAATGAATTTTTGAAGCATTCGTTAAAATTTTTACCATTAAAATAGGTTTGAATTCTTATTTATTTTTATTTGAAATATTTCGAAAGTTGTTTTAATAAATTTAGCACAGCATTGCGGTTAATCTAACTAATATTTTTAAATAATTAAAGAAATAAAAATTAAATATTTTTTATTTATTAAATATTTTTATAAAATTTTTCTAATAAAATTGAATTATAAATTATTATAAATTTTAAAAGACTTTTCCAGAAATGATTACCTGCTAAAAAAGGAATTTCATGGATTATAATAAATTATAATTAACATGAAATTTTATTTTGCCGTTAATGGCAAAATGATTTTAAGATCATTTAAATATGCCTTCAAAGAGTAGAAACTAGCAAAATACTAAGATTTCCGAGATTTGTTACTAGGAAAGAAATTAAAATATTGCAGTGAAAGATGTGATAACTTTTTAATTGTCAATATTTTAAAAAAAAATTTCTATTGCATTGAGGTAAATTTTTGAGAGATTTAATTTTTTTTGGTTAATAATCGTTAGTTTATTTCCGAATATGGCAAGCATCACTCTCTTAGGTTTTTTTGATTTTTTTCGCAGCTGTTACAGGCGATTGTGCTGCAAATAATTAATTCTATATTGAAAAATTATTTTCAACGAAGCTAAAATGACCACATCATCAGCGTATATATACGTAATATTAGTTGCAATAATAATGTAAACTGGGTTGTTGATGGCAATCTATTTAATGCTAATGTTGATTATTTTTTATATTTATTCAACAGAAAATAGAATGCAATTTTTTAGGGAATATCTAATAAGAAATACAATGGCCACAAGTTCGTCTACATTGCGTCCTCATGACGATTCCATAATCACCGATGTTGCAAAGATGCCGATATGAAGGACAGTCAGCGTGTGCATCAGTGCAGCCACCGGATTGCGAAGCTGAAAATCAAATTCGTTTTTTTCAGCAGATTTAATCGAGTATAACTTGTTTTCAACAGTATAATTTATGGAGAAAAAATATTCCAATTATAGCAATTTCTTGATGGCACAGCTATTTTTTATCATTCTAAACATAAATATAGGTAAAGTGGAAATATCCAGTGACAATCACTTACCTGTCAGATTTTGAAGGCAAGCCCTTGAAAGACAAGTTCTCTGGCAAATATTTCTAATCGAGTCAAGTTGACAAAATCCTCTCAAACTTTCGCACCCATCAATGCTGTCCGGACATTCACCACCAGCACCAGGTAAATCACAAAGTCCGCATGTATGTGGGCAAAATTCGAATGCTATTCTGCTAAGATAAGGTGCTCTGCACATTTCTTGCGTAAAATTCTCGCATTGTCCCACTAAAATTTTCACTGAATATAAATGAATATATAAAAACGCTTTTTAAATTTAAATTGAATTTTAAATTCTGATTTAATTTTAAAATCATTTTGAAAATATTGAAACAAATTAAAACCGTTTCTGCAGTTGAACTTTCTAGTTTTGCAGCACGTCGCACAAGTTCGAGGACACAGTTGCTCAGCTAAACGCATGTAATTTGATTGTTGACATTTTGGGCTTACTTTATAGCCCGCTGCACTGAAATAAGGCAATTTTATAAAATAAAAAATGATTATTTTTCAATAATTTTAATGTAGATCATCATTTTTGTATTATTCTATATTATTCTAAATTATAATATTGATTGCATTTTCACGTTAAAAGAATTCTTATCAATGGATTTCTTAAAAATACATGAAAGAAATCCATTTGCTTCAATGATCGTTTAATAAAAAAAGTTTATTACGGATTACGTTGGTCTTGAATTGTTTGTTCTGGCTGTTCTAAATTAAACACTTGTGAACACGCTGGATCCAGGTCAAAACAAAGATTTGGATCGACAGTTGGGCGATATTGAGCTTCTTGAGCTGGTTGAGGCGCTCCATTTGGAGGTGCTGCAACCGGTGCTGCTGGTAGCGGAAGTGGTCTATTGCATACTTTAATTGATACATCGTTACCAGCACTTACGCAAGAAATGAAAAATAATAAAGGGAGATAAAAGAAATTCATTACGAACCGCGATTGCTGATTACGTTTGCTGATAATCAAATAATTATTTCCGCCCCTTAAGTAATATTTTTATATTCTTTTTTTGTTTATTCTGTAAATATTAAACGATAAATTTTCGTTAATCAAATAATAATGATCAACTGCTTCAATTATTTTGATTTTTTGAATTATTTATAATGGGCAGTCAATAAGTAAGAGTCAGCCATTGGATTGCGAAGTTGCTGCTGAAAATCAGATTCGTTTTAAAAAAAAAATAACAATTATCCTTGGAACTCACTTGTAAGGCTTTGAAACAAACTTTTGAAAAACACGTTCTCTGGGAAATATTTCTAATCGAATCACTCATAGTGAAAAAATAATGCTAATTCCAATTACAGCAATAATTTCTTGATAGCACCACTATCGTTATCTTTCCTATAAATATAGGAAAAGTGGAAATATCCAGTCAATAAATCATCTTTACAACTTACTTGTCAGATTTTGAGGACAAGCCTTTGAAAAATAAGTTCATATTTCTACTTGAATCAAGTTGACAAAATCCCCTCAAACTTTCGCATCCATCAATGCTGTCGGGACATTCACCGCCAGCACCAGGCAAATCACAAAATCCGCAGGTATATGGACATATATTGATTTTGACTTCCTATCCAAAAAATCCAGTTCAATGGATTTTTTAAAGATATGAGAAGGAAATTAGCTTGTTTAAATGATATTATAATTGTAATAAAAAGTTTTACGGATCGTGTTGGTCTCGAATTGTCTGTTGTGGGGTATGCAAATTGAATATGGCTGAGCACGCTTCTGGTTCGAGATCGAAACACAGATCGACGGTCGAGCTGCTTAAGGCTCAACTGCTTGAGCAACTCCAGGTAGATGCTTGTGGCGGAAGTAGTGTTTGCATACATTAATTGTTTTATCATCAGCACTTACGCAAGAAATAACAAGTAATAGAGGCAGATAAACGAAATTCATCACAACAAATTTTTTATAATGAATTACAAATAATCAGTATCGTTCCTGTTTATTTTGTTTATTTTTATATTACTGTTTTTCTGTTCATTCTTACCGTAAATTTTTGTTTATCATAGTGATAATCAATAGTGATAATCAATAGTGATAATCAATCGTGATTTGTTGTTCAATTCTTTCATTTATAAAATTTGAAAAAAATTTTTATTCCTTTTTGTTTCGTTTTTTTTCAATTTATTATACTTATTTATTATATTACATCATTTATTATACTTATTTTATCGTTTATAAATTTCTTTAAATTATGAAACCGATTTTCAAAAATGTTTTGCAAATTTCATATATTTAACAGTACAAAAAACATTTGAGCGACCAATAATTTCAGAAGCGTTTTTAAAGGTTTTTGAACCACCAACATTTTATTGTTTTGTCGGAAATACTGACATCCTCAGTATGAACTGAACCATCGTCCTATAAATCAATTTTCCTACAGCAATTCCTTTTTTATTGGGCGTTTACTATTAATAATCATTCATCGCTGATATAATTATTGATATTACTATTATAAATTTTGATTATCATTTCTATTGTAAAAATTATTTTTATTATTATTTTTGTTATATTATATGAAAATATATAGTATATATTTAATGCATAATATATATACTACATATAATATTATATAAATATATAGTATATATAGTATATTATATATTTTGATAGGTTTTATTGCAATAATAATTAATGTTCATGAAATGCTTCCTGGATTGGCAGCACTGGCGCAATATTTTTTTTAACAACTGCGGACCAATGCACTATAGAAAAATACAATTCACTTAGAGTATACCGAAAAATTTCTGGGAATCAACAAATGACGAAAAAATATTATTACATTGTTTTTATGACAAATGTTCGATTTTTTTAAATATGTTAAATAGTTCAATAAATTTTAATTAAATTAGGACGTCTATAAAAGAATAGTGGGAATTTTTTTTTAATCATTTTTCATTTTCTCAATTCAATAAAAATCAGTTTAATTGAATCACTAAAATTAAGTTATTAAAAATTTAAAAAAGATTAAAATTTTTCGAAATATTACTGGTTAAACTCGCTCTACTGGCTTGTCGATTTAGGCAATATGCATGACGATAGAAATAAATATGAGTCACCGCGTGACCTGGATTTTGTGCAGGTTTACTCCAGCAGTGAATCAATATTAAACGTTATTCTAATAACAATAAAATAGTACTAATTTTATTATTCAAATAAAATAGTACTAAAAGAATAATAATTATAATAATTACGTTAAAATTAAAATTATTAAGCAATTATGTCAAGTGTTAAACATTAATATAAGGTTTATGTATGTTTTTTGTTTCTAATTTTAATCTATGAATATTAATGAATATTAACGAATTTTTAAAAAAAATGGTGGATTATAAGATTCCTCAACAGTGCATCAAAATAAAAGATGTCGCAACAAGATTGTGCCTCGATGCATGCGTGATGGGTTTGCAAAACGAAGGAATTTGACTGTCGCAATTATCAGCTTTTTTCCATTAATTTTTAGTTCGAGGAAACGCTAACCATATAGGCTGTCAATCCGGAAGCAAAATGTTAAGAAGATATATTTGTACAACTGTATCTGATGTATTATTATCAATGTGCCCTTTACATATGCTCTATATAATTAATAATAATTAATATTAATAATTAATATTTAATAATAGTATCAACAATATTTAATAATAGTAATATTAATTTTAATAATAATAGAAAGACTGAAATTCCATCACAAAATTTAAAATTTTTTCGTTTTAAGTGAAAGGAATGCACCTTCTCCTGTAATACGATGGATGAATATAGAAAAACATGGCGCAAGCGATTGGTTGTAAGAATCATCATGTGCAAGGATCAGAAATAAATAAATTCATAATTTCCACATATTCCTTGGTCATTTTGTCTTAATGTAGGATTACACCTGAATTCTGGCGTCTCAGTAGGAATAAAATTGCCAGTGGAAACGGAATTTCTATAATCTTATCCACTTTTCCATCATGAAATAGCAAAGGGCTATCATTGCATTATGTTGGATTGATATCGAGAAACTCGAAGTGTCAGAAATCAAAATATCAGAAAGCCAATTAATTAAAGATTAAAATTCTGAATGATAAGGAAATGCCAGAAATGTCTTAAATTTCGTCTATGCAGAATAGACATACGAAGTTTTAGTGACTGTGTTCTGATTTTCTTTTTTAATTTTAATCTTCTGATTCTGATTGAAATCCTAATTTCAATCAGAATTTTCAGAATTTTGAACCCCCCAATAATTAGCTGCATTCTAGTGTAGTCACTGTAGTCGCCTAAATCAGAAACTTAAGAAACGGTAATTCCTTTATTAAAATGAAAATGAAAATTCAAACTCAAGGTTAAGTGAAAATTCAAACTTAAAAAAATCTAATTTTCTTTGCCAAAATTATTCCATAAAATTGAATAATATTAATTTATAATATAATAATATAATATAATATAATATATAATAATAATATTTATAATATAATTTTAATATTAATTTATAATTAATATATTTATTATCTCATAAAATTGTGAAATTTTAAAAATTGCTGAACAGTGCGCGCAATGTTAAAAACTTTAAAACGCAAGTATACCACTTAATGAGCGAAATGCAAATCTTCTGAATCGTATAGCCTAAGATATTGAGTTTATTAGATTTTAAGTAGTTTTTTAACTATAAAATTAATAGTAATGTTATTTATAATGTTTATTATAAACAGACAAAAAGACGAAAAGAAATTGTTGAGAAAATGTGATAATAAGCGACAGTTTTAGGCCGATGAGCAATGACAACAAGTTTGCCTGCATTGACTTCTCATTACAATTCCGTAATCACCGATATTGCAAAAATGCCGATATGACGGGCAGTCAACGTGTGCATCAGTGCAGCCAGTGGATTGCGAAGTTGCTGCTAAATTCATCTTTTAACTAAATTAAATTGAGTATAACCATTGGTTAAATTCAGCAGTACCATATCAAATTTCATCAATTTCAATTTCAATTTGTCCTAGTAATTATAATAACAATTTTTTACAATTTCACTAATACTATTTTGCCTTTTCCAATTTCATAAAATAGCAATGGAAGGAATTGCAATAATACAAATAATATTGTAAGGCACCTGTCAGATTTTGAAGACAAGCCTTTGACACACGTTCTCTGGTACATATTTCTAATCGAATAATGTTGACAAAATCTCCTCAAACCTTCGCACCCATCAATGCTGTCTGGACATTCACCGCCAGCACCAGGTAAATCACAAAATCCACATGTGTATGGGCAAAATTCTAATACTATTTTAATGAGAAAAGACATTCTGTACATTTCTTGGAAGCAATTTCCGCATTGTTCAACTGAATATACAGTATATTAAAGGCTGTTTCAATTCTACTTACACTATCTATATTTGTATTTTTCTTATACACTTTTATATACTTTTCTATACTTTTTTCATTAAAAGATCTATTTTAGCAAATAAATTTCCCTCTTATATTTTTTAAAAATCCATTGATAAGAATTTTTTTACGAAAAAATTAATTCAAAAAATAAAATTAATTATACAATTACAAAAATGAGGGTCCATAATAAAAAATTAATAAAATTAATTAACTAATAAATATTTAAAAAAATAAAAAATTAAATCATTTTGTCCCATAGAAATGCATTATTTCAATTTGAATCAGTGCTATTTTTTGCAGAAATGATACTGTTGAACACATATTATACTCGATTAAATCTGTTGAAAAAAACGAATTTGATTTTCAGCTTTACAATTCAGTGGCTGCACTGATGCACATGTTGAATGCCCCTCAAGAGGTATATAAACCAATCCGAAGCACCTTATTACTTAATTTGAATACACTAGTCCTTTTTGCTGACAGTTATGAGTGCCATCACAGAACGTCGCCTTCGCTGGATATGGCATATTCATTAACCACAAGAATTTACAAATATTTCGTTACTTGCTAAATCCTGTGATGTATGGAAGCTCAAAAGCGAGGTGAGCCAATCAAGACCTGAACTGATACAGTCAGGAAAGATTTTGAACGTATAGGTGGACTAGCAATATGTGGACTTAGATGGTGGAAAAAGGAATGGATTCTTGAAATAGTTATTATTTTATATCATTTATTATTTCTCGGCGAATGCTGGAAAATAACTGGGAGTACCACTGTGACCTGCATAAAGAGGACCCAACTTTGTCCACTAAATACAACACCGCAAAAAGAAAATGCAAACTGAAAAAAATAAATAAGAATAAGAAAATTAGACTATCAATCCTAAAAGTCAGATGCCCACTTCTCTACGCGTTATCAGTTGTTGCACGTAAATCTCTGACTTTCTTCCTCATTTTCATTTCTTCTAATTTAATACATTCGACATTTATCAATAATAACTCGACCAAAAAAATTAAGGAAAGGATTATGCGTGAACCGACGTTTAGTAATTTCTAAAATTTATCTTTTTACAAAAAGGAAAATAATTAATTTTTAGAATTTTTCGAATGAATCTTTTGCAAATTGATAGCATTAATTTTTATAAACCATCGAAAATTTATAAAATATTATTGTTTCGCCCATTTTTCGGGATAATTTTTCGCGCATTTGTCGGTTTCTTATCAGTGAAAAAGTATGACAATTTTCTTTTTTCGCATTATCACCCAAAATCTGGCAGTCGCATTTTTCTGTTTAATCTCATCTTAAATTGATGTTTTTTCCATTATTTTTGTTGGTAAATTTATGGTTCAAATGGGCATTTTTAGGTGCACTGGTGCTAATGTGCTATGGGAAACCTATGCAGTCCAACAAAATGGCGAAGCAAGCTCAACCAGAAATGAGAGCTCTTCAAGAAGTAGTAATCAACTCGTTCGTGGAAGCATTTGCTTGATTTTTTTTCTTTCTTATTATAAATATATTAAGCGATAAGAA